CTGCTGTGTGCCACCCCTACCCACTTGCTTTTGATCCTCCCACAAAGTCCCAGGATAGCTTGGAATTTTCTATATGCCCAGGTGGGCTTCAAACTTGCACTTCTCCCAACACTACCCACTGAGTGTTGGAGCTATAAGCATATACTACCATGCCTGAATCTTGGCAATGTCCATGTTATTTCCAAGCTTTGTAGCATTTGCTACATCACGTGCTACACGCTTGAAGTCAGTTTTTCCTCAAATACATTCTTTAGACTTGAAATTTAAATCAAAATGTGCTAATTAAACCTTGTATTCGCAATGTAGACATTTTACAATTCTTGGTGATTTACCTGTTTTGTTAGGTGGCCCAGACTGGTCTCAAATTTGAAACCCATGGCCTCTCTACCTACTTAGTGCTGATATAACCAGTACAAGCCTCTTTGCTTAAATTTCTGAAATGTTAAAAGTCTGAGTTTCCTCCTAACCTGTAAGCCACACAAAAATACAGAACACGTCTACTTTTCCACACCACTTTGTTACCTGGGCTGTGATTTCCAGCACTATTAGCAGCTTAACAAATACTTGGGGTAGTCAGTCACTCCTAATATCTGCCTTAAACATATACAAACATGGAACTTTTCTCTTTCCTGTGTCTTTGGCCCCCACCGTTTCCAGTGTTGGTGACTGAACCCAGACTTTATGCATTCCAGATGCTCCACCATTGAGCTACATCCTCAGCCCCCAAATGAAACTTCTGACTCTGTTCCTGCCTCACCTGCCAATTTTCCTCAGTACTGCTTCCCCCCACCTATCCTAGCTTAGAAAAGGGCATTACTTTTGCCAAGCCATTAAAGACAAAAAACAAGCAATAACACATAATTCCATAATTCTTCCTTCCATTATTTCCCATATCAATCCATCAAAAAGATATCTTGACTCCCTTCTATTTCCACAACTACTTTCCCAAGTCACCATTATCTTGTTTGAAATATTGGGGTTCAGAGCTAGAGAAATGGTAACAGTTAAGAGCACTGACTGCTCTTCCAGAGATCTTGAGTTCAATTCCCAGCAACCACAGGGTGGCTCACAATCATATAATGGGATCTGATGCCCTCTTATAGCATGTAAGCATACAAAGCACTCGTGTGTGTGTGTGTGTGTGTGTGTGTGTGTGTGTGTGTGTGTGAGAGAGAGAGAGAGAGAGAGAGAGAGAGAGAGAGAGAGAGAGAGAGAGACTGGGGTTCTATGGTTGTGGTTCTGTTGTTTTGTTTTTGAGAAAGGGTCTCCTTCTGCAGCCCTGGCTGTCCCGGAACTCCCTGTGTAGACCAGGTCAGCCTTGAACTCACACAGCTCCATCTGCCTTTGCCTCTGCTTTAGCCTCCCTAGGGCTGGTATTAAAGGTGTGGGTCACCCATACCTGGCTTCTGTTTGAAACACTGTAATGGATTTCTACTTACCCTTTACTCTTTTATATATAATGACTGTTTTATTTTCATTTTATTTCAGGTTCCAACAAGAGTGATCTGAAATATCAATCAATGGGGCTGGAGAGATGGCTCAGTGGTTAAAACATAAACCAAGCCATAACTCCCTTATGTAAAATTCTTGATTTTTAGTCACACACAGAATAAAATCAGATGGTTCCAGCAAAGCTAGGCACCACCTAGCGCTAGCCTACACTATGGCTCACTACGTTTCAACCAGAGAAGCTTTCTGATCCTTATGTCTTACAGTTGGTTGTGTTCTTCCTGAACCCCAGCCCACCTTTCATATGGATAGTACCTTCACTGCCTTCCATCTTCACTCCTAACTTCTCCTTCTCCAAGAGGCTGCTCTTGTCAACTCTACAAAAGAAACACCCTCCCTCACATAGTTCTGTTAGCATGTGATTCAGTTTCTTCATACCAGACTTATACTTTGAAATCATTTCATTCATTTATTACAGATTTCTCTTCCCCCAGAATGTAAGCTGAAGGCATCAGCTCTGTGCCTATCAAGACCCTGCATTTCCTAAATAAACAATCCTCAATCCAAACCGTCTTGCCTCTTAAAAAGTCACATTTATAATAAGGAAACTCATCTACTTGACATCGTCTCACTTTCTTCTAGGAGTGTTAAACAGTGAAAAGTAGGCATAATGAAAGACTGCTTGAGCCTATGAATGCAAGACAGGGACTCCAACTACCAGTATACCAGGATAAACTGTTGGATCTGGTCTATCACTAGCCCTAACTAGAGGAACTCCAATAGTATACTAGGATGAATTGTCACATCTGGTCTATCACTAGCCCTGACTCTTTCTACATCACAGGCCAAGATAGTCAGTGGGAAGAAAATCTGCTTTTTATTACTTTCCTCCAAATAGGCGTTTCCTTTTTCTAAATTAAAATTCATGACATTCTTTTTCTGGATTCTAGGCTATTACATAATCCTCAAATGTCAACTCCTTCAAACTTGGCCCTTAATGTTACCCATCTCCCTCTCTTTCCTATTATTATGAAATAACTTAAACAGAAACAGAGCCACTAAGGTGCCGTAAGACAGAGACCTGGAGCCTGCAGTATGGGTTCTTATGCCATGCTCAATGAGATCATCACTGAGCAGGCTGCAGCACTCTCCTACCTTCACCCCCAAGAACAGAATAGTCAGGGCAGATATTGCAGAAGGGGTCAGTGACCTGGAAAGCTTTGTACCAGCGGAGACAATCTTGGATGGGGATAATGAGGGGGAAACAAGACCGTCTGAACAGGACTACAAACCAGGCCTTCACTGAAACACAATTTCATAATTGTGTTCTCAATTTCTGCTTCAGACCTTCTACAAATTCATACTGGAAGCTTTTGTCCATTATATTATTCAATGGCCTTCACATAAGAAACCCCACTATATGCTTTCCAGAATTTAGTATGAGACTCAAATTATAATCAAACTTGGAATTACTCTTTTTATCAAACAATGCAAACTATATGAAATCACAGATGTCTTAGAGATGGAAGGGGCTACTGGATATAACTAGTTCAGTGTGTTTAAAAAAAAAAGTTAAAAAGTAAACAACTTTTTCTCTCCATAGGTGTTTTATTGAGCTATAAATCACATCTTATGAAGCTCATCCTTTTAAAGTGTATTCATTCAGTTCTTTTCAGCATATTTAATTATGTAACATTTCTATCAACCCCAAAGAAACTCACACCCAGCAGCCAAGCTCTTAGCTCCTCAGTGTCTTTGTCAAAGGACTCCTTAGACCTTTCACTGTGAATTTATAAGATGGCTACAATGTGTTTCATTCACATCCACACATTGTTTTTGTTTTGCTGTTGTTGTTGTTTCTCCTTTTCTGGTTTCCATTATTTATTTATTTATTTATTTTGATTACTTGGGATTGCGTATCATTCTTTGAGCCAGGCTGTCCTGGGCCTTCTGGCAATACTCCTGCCTTAGCTTTCCAGGAAGTACAGATGTAAAACACTACTCCTGGCTTGTCCAAATATATTTAAGAGCTAACACTTTGGCGTCTGCTTTGCTAAATGCTATACATAGGTACCTCAGTAATCCTCACAGTAAAATCTCAAAGAGAGGCTCTCAACCTTCCTACTGTTGCAAACCTTTAATACAGGTCCTCATGTTGTGGTTCACCCTACCATAAAATTATTTCATTGCTACTTCATAAATGTAATTGTGCTGTTATGAACCGTAATGTAAATATCTGTGTGTTTTTCCAATGGGCCCGTTTTGTCCCACAGGTTTAAGAATCTCTGATCTAGAAGGTACCATATATACACATATGTATATATGAATGTGAATATTAAACTAAAAAGATCAAGGCTAAATAACACGCTGAAGCTTTCCTAAAGGCCCTACTCTACAACAGTGAAAGAAAGGACTAGTATTCTACAGATTCTGTCTTTGGGCTAACTAGAACACAGAAAGGTAGGCTGAATTATTCTTTCTTTCCTTTTCTATTAGTTTCCTTATTAGTGTATAGCTAAATTGTAGAACTCAATTGGTTAACTCATCCTGACAAATACCTCCCTTCTTCAAATGCCTTAAAAATAAAACAAAACACAAAAGCCTCAATTTTAATATTACAAACTTTCTTAAAAACCTTGTTCAGACTGAGTTTGTTTTTCCCTAGGTGCTTCACCCTATATGCAACACTCCATTACTCCCATCACACAAATGCTAGTCATCTTTTGGTTAGTATAGGTAGACGACGCTTGGTCTTTCTCATCTCCTAGGTGAATGTCACCCCCTCCTCTATGCACATGCAGCCCTGCTCGCACCTACCTCTCTTCTGAATTGCCTGAATTGGAACTACTTCGAGCTCCTGTCTTATGCCGCCACCACTCACTCAGCCCGGGAAGCAGAAGTTTCCCGGGAAGCAGAAGTTAGTGTCAAGTACGAAAGCTAAGCATGTGCGGGACAATCATAAGCGGCCAAACTTCCTATCCATCTCTGATGTCACTGCTCTAAGAGAGGCCAAGAACACATCTCTCCTCAAGTCGGCCGGCCCCGGGGTCATTTACCGGTTTTGTAGTCACCCAGTCCCACCAGCCTGGGATCAGAAGGATAGTGCACCCACACTGCAGTCTTGTGGAGCTCGCCGCTACTCAGGCCAAGTCAGTCAAATAAAAAGTGACAACAACTGGCGAGGCAGCGGTAAGAGGGCTGCACCTACGACTCGGCGGGACTATCCGGAGCCCAGGCACCTCCCTGCTTACTGACAGGGACCCGGGCCGGCACCAGGGTGGGGCAGGGCAAGGGGGCCCATCTGGGAGGTGACAGAGCAAGGCCTCGAACGCAAGTCACCACCCCCGAGTTCAGAAGAGCTTCAGCACAGAGAAGGCGAGCGGGAGGAGCAGCCTTCGGGTCCCGGCCCCGCTCGGCGCTCCAGACCCGCAAGGGTCCACGCCGTTCACGGGTCTGGGGGCGCGCGCACCCCGCCCCCGGCCCCGCGCCATCTTGGAGCGCTGAGGCGCCCGCTCGGGACTGCCCCGCCCGTGGCTCCCGCAGCTACTCACCCGCGCTGCCTGGGGCCAGGCCCCCCGCCACCTCCGCAACCCTCGCCGCGGCCAGAAGAAGCAGCAGCGCGCCTCGCGGGGAGGCCCGGACGCTCGCCATGTCCGGGCCGGGCGGGTCCGAAGCCGCGGGATGCTCGGACCCAGCCTGGCCGCTGCAGCCGCTGGCACCAGACCCCGCCCCCAGCTCTTTGGACCTCTGGTGATTGGCTGCGGCGCTCCGAAGCCCCGCCCTGGCCGCTCAGAGTTTCCAAAACCTCCCGGGGGGCGGCAACGCGCCCTGGACCCTGGCTCTTTGTTATGGGCCAGCTGTGTGTCGCCTTCGGCCTCAGGCTCCCGGGCAGCGTCCTCCAAACGGGAAGTCAGAGGCGGGAGACCCCTTTGGAGCGCCTCTGCCGCCTGCCTGGGTAATTGGGGGCTCCGCGGCTCAGAGGCGACTGCTCCACAGGTCGGTCTGAAGTCCAAAGTCTAAGTCACAGCCGAACCGCAGGGGGTGCATCCCTACCTGCGTCCTCCTGGATACTCAATATCCTGTCCAAGTGCTGCCTCGACCTAAAGAAGGCGTGTCTTCTGGCCTCCTTTCGAAGTCAAAGGGTTTTGCTGAAAGGCTAAGAACTCACAGGGTCGCCTCGCTGTGCCATTCACGCCCTGTTAATGCCTATTCCACCCAGGGAAAAGGACAGAGCAACTTGTATGACTAGGCTTGGAGAACCTTGAAATTCAGATTGCTGGAGAGGATTTGGAGGTGGGTCCTCCCACACCACTGTAGCATCTACTGTGGAGAATGTACCAGAGGGTCTACTAATCAAAGCTAACTCACTGCGTAGTAGCCCCTCCTCTCTTCCCGTCTGCACAGCCCTTGAACAGATAGCGAATACATTTTAGAGTTAACTTACATTTCTGTTCAGAAGTGAATATTGCTTATTTCCAGTTTCCTCTGTTCAGATCACTAAATACAGTTAGCTTTCCTCTAATGGTCAGATGGTAGCAATGACTCTAATGGAAAGAGCAAGGTCTTGACACACTCCTGAGTCCAGATTGCACACTATTCCCAGCTAGCCCTGTGTCTATGGGTGAAGACATCTTACTTCTGAGGCCACACACACACACACACACACACACACACACACACACACACACACACACACACACACACAGGCCTTCTTGATAAGATTACTGAACATATTGTGTTTATTTATTTATATTTGTATTTTGGAGACAGGATCTCACATAGCTCAGACTGACCTTGAACTTATGAGACACCGAGGCTGGCCTTGATTTCCTGATCGAGTGCTGAATTACAGCCACCCAGCGGCATATTGTATTTAGAATGTCTAAGGCAGTAAGTACTTGACACAGTGTATAATGTGAACACTCTAAAAACTGAGAGCTCTTAATTTGGGCTATGGGACTAACTGGCTGAACTTATTTCCCACCCTGCCCTCACTACTTTGTACTTCTTTAAAACAATAGACTTGTCTTTTAAACACATTTTTGAGGTTTTTATACATGAGCACTGTATTGCATCGTTGCTACCCCACCCTCTTCCCCTTTCCACTAAGGCTTTACTTTTCAGGACAGTTTTAAGCCCATAGCAAAGTTGAATGGAAGGTACAGAAAGTACATGTGCACAACCTCACCTCTACCAATGTCCTCCACATCTGCGGCAATGAGCAAGCCTGAACTGACACCAATAGGATTCACTGTTGGGACTGTGCAGCCTGTGCCCTGACACATGTATAACGTTTATCTGCCACTATTCTTTTTAGCTTCTTAAACTGTAGCTGTTAGAAGATATTATGTGGTTCAGTGTGGCACCCACTCACACTCTATTTCTGTCTTACAATGCTGGTGTAATGTTTCACTTAAAATGATTGATGATTGGAGATCAATACAGTGCTTTAAAAATATTTAGTCACCAGTAATTGTTTGAGGCAAAGAGCCATCTCTCTGTATTCTAGTTAGAGAAAACTCATTAAGTCCCTCTCCCTCGATTTTAGACTTGAACCCAGGGCTTCACACATGGTAAGCAGGTGCTGTATCACTGAGCTATGTCTCCAGCCCCCACCCATAAATATTTTTCCCTATGATCCTATCCTTTTTCATATCCTTTTGATGCAGGGTCTCCCTATGTAGCTCATGCTGGCATCAAACTTGAAATCTTACTACCTTAGCTTCCAGAGCGCCCAAGCGCCTTTTATTTTTCAATTATAGATGCGCTCTTTGTGTCTTTCGATGTCTCCATTCCCCTCCTCATAACACCTATGCCTCCCCCTTTATATTCTTCATAACATTTATTGTTTTTATAATGGCTATTTAATGTCCTTATTTGATAATTATGTCACCTCTCTATATATTTATATTGATGTTTTCCAGTTATGAGTAACATCTTCCTTTTTCCTTACATGCTGGACAGATTTTGAATGTATGAAATGCACATGAATTTTGTGATTAGAGTGCTAACTGCGCGCACGCGTGTGTGTGTGTGTGTGTGTGTGTGTGTGTGTACTCAATGTAAGGAATGCTACTCTGTCTTTTCTGGCATAAATTTAAGTTACTTGAAGATCTACTGAGATCACACATCTGTTTCATCAATGTCACCACACTTTCCTTTTATATGATTAAATGTATGTATGACAAATGCTTTAATGTCTTAGTCTGCTAATTCCAACATCTGGGTAATCCTGGCAAGGATTTCTAATGACTGCTTTTCATCTTGATAATTGATTGCATTTTCTAATCTCTTCATGACTAATACATTTTCACTTTACAATAGACCCAGGACAAGCTGGTCCCCACCCCTAGGATATGGCTTGTCACTGCAGCAGGAGAAATGGAAACTATAGAAATAGAACCAAATGGGCAGCCTAACATGGGCAGTCCATGTTAAAACATTGTACACATTAGAAATGATAAAATTCTTGAAGCCAAGTCGATAAAAATAACTTAGTCCCAAGAACAAGAGATGGAGGGAAGATGAGAAGAAATTAAGTGGGTCGTTCAGTGTCTGATGCATGCATAGTTGGATTCCTAGAGGGAGAAGAGAATTAGAGAGCAGAAAATGATCAAGAGACTGGTACCTGACAACTTCCCAAATGCAGTGGAAAGCACTCCGAATGCTGAGTGCACCCTAAGAAGAACAAATTCAAAGAAATCACACCCTAGACATCATAATCAAACTGATGGATAAGGATAAAATGACTCACTACTTATAAGAAGGTAATAATCACACAGAAGATGGCTGACATTTCAGAAAAATGGAGGCCACTCAACCACCCCCACTGCCGTCACCCCAGTCCATCATTCTGTCTTGCCTGTACTATTGAAGTAGCTGCCTAATTGGCCTTTATTTCATCCAGTAGCCTCTATGGTCTCTTTCAATAAAGTGATCATAGTGACCCTTTTAAGCAGTCTGTTTTTTATTCTGTAGAACTTTCTAAAGCCTTCCCATCCCACTCAGACAACCAGGATCAGATGTATTATAGTAACTCTTTAAGTCGTGTTTCCTTACCTCTCTGGCCTCATTTCTCACTGTCCCTCGGATTCACTCATACACTCCAGTCACATCTTGCTCTGACCTCTGCTTAATTTCTTCACACAACTCTGGCTTATGTTCTTTGCACGGTTCTCCCTCTTCTTGGTGCAAGAAAATGGGTTATAGTTTCGGCTAGAACTAAAGAGAGAAAGTTCTTAGCTCCTTTCTACCCGATGCCCTCTTCTGGCCTTTGTGTATATGTAGAAGAAAACTCACATACTGGAGGAGACTCACATACATGGATGGACAGGGGTGCGCGCGCGTGCGCGCGCGCGCGCACACACACACACACACACACACACACACACAGAGAGAGAGAGAGAGAGAGAGAGAGAGAGAGAGAGAGAGAGAGAGAGAGAGAGAACTGTGGGAAATCCACCCCACCCCCCACCCAGGGAGCTGTTCCTGTGGTTCTCCTCACTTCTAGTTTAGGGTTTCTTAGGTCAGTTTTAGTTCTTCGGGTTCATGTTATACCGTTACAGACAAAGCACAAATGTATGTGCATAACAACAGACATGGCATGGAAGAACGCTGCGATCAGTCAGACACAACCCTTCACATCTTTATCAGTCTCCAGTGATTTGATCCCTCTCGTGGGGGAGTAGTGCAGAGAAGAAAAGCGGTTTGCTTGTGAGGGATGCACCAGGTGGGTCCCAGAAACCCTAGGAAGGGGACCTGGGCAGCATTTCCTACGTGGGACTCAAGGAAGTGACAGATCTTAGGAAATGTCTCTACCCTCAGCCCCTGAGGGCGTTTCCGGTGTGTGTCTTCCCTTGTTCCCCGCAGAAGAGCAGGCGGGTGTTTTCTATGCCCCTCACTAACAGCAATGTAAAAGTTTAGCAAGCCAAGACCCTGAAGAGACCTCAAGCACAGAAGGAGGGGGAGCCTAGAGCTGTTGTGCTCATGGCCTGTACAACTGGAAGCCAGATGAGCATGCAGGTGTCAACAAGGCTGACAGTGACAGCTGAGGACCAGATGTCCTGCCTTCTTCCAGGCACAACGGCTGGCTTTGGCTTTATAAATTTGTTTCAAAACTGGGGAAGATGTTTGAGAATGGCCTTGACTAAACTAAAATTTCCCTGAAGTGAGGTTAAGTTTTAATCAGCGGGAACGGATGTGCAGAGGCAAGTGCTTATCCATTAACGATCAGAACACACCGTCTAAAACTCGTTGCTAGGAAGCGGCTCCACAGCCAGGCATCATGCTTACTATTAGTTTAATAACTGGGAATGTGGCCTTGCAGAACAAAGCCTGCCTGGTGCCTTGGAGCAGAACCAGCATAACTGAGGTCTGTTGACTCTTCTAGTGAACTCTCAGACAAGAAAGGCTTTTCCCACAGCATCCAACACTAACATGTTATAAAATTCATTCTCCGACCTGAGGTGCCCTCAGCCTGAGATGCCTTGGACACTATTCTGCCAGTCTCCAAAGAACTCCAGAGACACCTGGGCTTTCCCTGTCTTCCACTCCCTTTCCTTATTCATTTCTATAGTATTCAGACTTACTTCAGGGGCTGGGAAAAGGGCTCAGTGGTTAAGAGTGTACACTGATCTTGGAGAGAACCCAAGTTTGGGCCTGGCACTACCTGTAGCTCTTACAACTACCTGTAACTCTAGCTCCAGGGGATCTGACTCCCTCTTCTGGTACCTCCAGACA